CCATAACTACTCCGCCCACACCGCCCTCCTCCATAACTACTCCGCCCACAACCGCCCACCTCCATAACTACTCCGCCCACACCGCCCTCCTCCATAACTACTCCCGCCCACCTCCATAACTACTCCGCCCTCCTCCATAACTACTCCGCCCACACCGCCCACCTCCATAACTACAACCGCCCACACCGCCCTCCTCCATAACTACTCCGCCCACACCGCCCACCTCCATATCTACTCCGCCCACACCACCCTCCTCCATAACTACTCCACCCACACCACCCTCCTCCATAACTACACCGCCCACACCGCCCACCTCCATAACTACACCGCCCACACCGCCCTCCTCCATAACTACTCCACCCACCTCCATAACGACTACCGCCCCCTCCATAACGACTCCGCCCACACCGCCCACCTCCATAACAACTCCGCCCACACCGCCCACCTCCATATCTACTCTCCACCCACACCGCCCTCCTCCCTCCATAACTACTCCATAACTACTCCGCCCACACCGCCCACGACTCCATAACTACTCCGCCCACACCGCCCACTCCATAACTACTCCGCCCACACCGCCCTCCTCCATCCACGACTACACGACCATCCGCCCACACCTACTCCGCCCCCACCTCCATAACTACTCCGCCCACACCGCCCTCCTCCATAACGACTCCCACCCCCACACCGCCCCCCTCCATAAACTACTCCGCCCACACCGCCCTCTCCATAACTACGACTCCACCCCAACTACTCCGCCCACCCTCCGCCTCACACCGCCCACCTCCATAACTACTCCGCCCACACCGCCCACCTCCATAACTACTCCGCCCACACACCGCCCACACCTCCATAACTACTCCTCCCACACCGCCCTCCTCCATAACGACTCCGCCCACACCGCCCTCCTCCATAACGACTCCGCCCACACCGCCCACCTCCATAACTACTCCGCCCACACCACCCTCCTCCATAACGACTCCGCCCACACCGCCCACCTCCATAACTACTCCGCCCACACCGCCCACCTCCATATCTACACCGCCCACATCGCCCACCTCCATAACTACACCGCCCACATCGCCCACCTCCATAACTACTCCGCCCACCTCTATATTTTACCCACCCACACCGCCCACCTCCATAACTACTCCGCCCTCCTCCATAACTACTCCGCCCACACCGCCCACCTCCATAACTACTCCGCCCACACCGCCCACCTCCATAACTACTCCGCCCACACCGCCCACCTCCATAACTATTCCGCCCACACCGCCCACCTCCATAAACTACACCGCCCACCCTCCATAACTACCGCCCACACCGCCCTCCTCCATAACGACTCCCGCCCACACCGCCCACCGCCCTACTCTCCTCATAACGACTACTCCGCCCACACCGCCCACCTCCATAACGACTCGCCCACACCGCCCACCTCCATAACTACTCCGCCCACACCGACTCCGCCCACACCGCCCACCTCCATAACTACTCCGCCCACACCGCCCACCTCTCATAACTACTCCGCCCACACTCCATATCTACTCCACCCACACCGCCCACCTCCATAACTACACCGCCCACCTCCATAACTACTCCGCCCACCTCTATATTTACTCCACCCACACCGCCCACCTCCATAACTACTCCGCCCTCCTCCATAACTACTCCGCCCACACCGCCCACCTCCATAACGACTCCGCCCACACCGCCCACCTCCATAACTACTCCGCCCACACCGCCCTCCTCCATAACGACTCCGCCCACACCGCCCTCCTCCATAACTACTCCGCCCACACCGCCCTCCTCCATAAGTACACTGCCCACACCGCCCTCCTCCATAACGACTCCGCCCACACCGCCCTCCTCCATAACTACTCCGCCCACACCGCCCTCCTCCATAACTACTCCGCCCACACCGCCCACCTCTATATCTACTCCACCCACACCGCCCACCTCCATAACGACTCCGCCCACACCGCCCTCCTCCATAACTACTCCGCCCACACCGCCCTCCTCCATAAACTATTCCGCCCACACCGCTCACCTCCATAACTACTCCGCCCACACACCGCCCACCTCCATAATTACTCCGCCCACACCCGCCCACCTCCATAACTACTCCGCCCACACCGCCCTCCTCCATAACTACTCCGCCCACACCGCCCTCCTCCATAACTACTCCGCCCACACCGCCCACCTCCATAACTACTCCGCCCACACCCGCCCACCTCCATAACTACTCCGCCCACACCGCCCTCCTCCATAACTACTCCGCCCACACCGCCCACCTCCATAACTACTCCGCCCACACTGCCCTCCTCCATAACTACTCCACCCACACCGCCCACCTCCATATCTACTCCACCCACACCGCCCACCTCCATAACGACTCCGCCCACACCGCCCACCTCCATAACTACTCCGCCCACACCGCCCTCCTCCATAGCTACTCCGCCCACCTCCATATCTACTCCACCCATTTGTATTGCATGTACAGATTAGTGGTGGAGGGTGTGTAGGACCGCCCTCCTCAGGCCCGGATTGGCCCTCTGACTTACGGCACATCTGGCGCGGACAGCAGCTGTGGTTGTCGGAGACGGGTGTGACGGTCATCTCGCCGTATCTGCGGCACGGAACCTCCTGGGAGGCGGAGCAGTTGTAGTGGACGGGGACGATGGTGTCATTGGCGGCACATTGATACATGCAGCATCCATTCACCGAGGTCTTCCAGGTCTCCCCGATCTCCCGAGGGACCCCGCTACTGTCTGTACAGGCTGGAATCCACACAGAGGGGTCACCATACCGAGAAGGGGGTCACCATACCGACAGGGGGTCACCATACCGACAGGGGGGTCACCATACCGACAGGGGGGTCACCATACATGCAGCATCCATTCACCGAGGTCTTCCAGGTCTCCCCGATCTCCCGAGGGACCCCGCTACTGTCTGTACAGGCTGGAATCCACACAGAGGGGTCACCATACCGAGAGGGGGGTCACCATACTGACAGGGGGTCACACTGACAGGGGGTCACCACACCGACAGGGGGTCACCACACCGACAGGGGGTCACCATACTGACAGGGGGGTCACCATACACATGCAGCATCCATTCACCGAGGTCTTCCAGGTCTCCCGAGGGACCCCGCTACTGTCTGTACAGGCTGGAATCCACACAGAGGGGGTCACTATATACGACAGGGGGTCACCATACATGCAGCCTCCATTCACTGAGGTCTTCCAGGTCTCCCTGATCTCCCGAGGGACCCCGCTACTGTCTCTACAGGCTGAAATCCACACAGAGGGGTCACCATACCGAGAGGGGGTCACCATACCTACAGGGGGATCACCATACAGACAGTGGGGTCACCACACCGACAGGGGGGTCACCACACCGAGAGGGGGTCACCATACCTACAGGGGGGTCACCAAACCGACAGGGGGGTCACCACACCGACAGGGGGGTCACCACACCGACAGGAGGGGTCACACCGACAGGGGGTCACCATACATAGAGAGGTCACCACACACAGAGGGGGGTCACCATGCTGACTACAAAGGCTCCCCCCTCCCCCATACTGACTACACAGGCTCCTCCCTCCCCCATACTGACTACACAGGCTCCTCCCTCCCCCATACTGACTACACAGGCTCCCCCCCCCCCCCCCCCCCCGCACTGACACGTACCACATTTCCTCTCGGGAACGCAGTGGGCGGAGTGTAGTCTGTGAAGGACCGCCCCCTCGGGACACACGCAGGCCTCAGTCAGCGCTGAACACGACTCGTCCTGGAGATCCATCTCATTATTCTGACAAGTCGCTGGAACTTCACACACCGGGAGACACGGCCGGAACTTCAACGTGCGGGGACACCGGAAGGCTGGAGGGGAATGTCATATACACCACGATGGGGAATGTACGGAATATACACCACGATGGGGAATGTACGGAATATACACCACGATGGGGAATGTACGGAATATACACCACGATGGGGAATGTCATACACCATGATGGGGAATGTCATATACACCACGATGGGGAATGTAATATACACCACGATGGGGAATGTAATATACACCACGATGGGGAATGTAATATACACCACGATGGGGAATGTAATATACACCCGATGGGGAATGTATATATACACCACGATGGGGAATGTAATGTAATATACACCACGATGGGGAATGTAATACGATGGGGAATACACCACGATGGGGAATGTAATATACACCACGATGATGGGGAATGTAATATACACCACGATGGGGAATGTAAATATACACCATGATGGGGAATGTAATATACACCACGATGGGGAATGTACGGAATATACACCACGATGGGGAATGTACGGAATATACACCATGATGGGGGAATGTACGGAATATACACCACGATGGGGAATGTAATATACACCACGATGGGGAATGTACGGAATATACACCACGATGGGGAATGTACGGAATATACACCATGATGGGGAATGTACGGAATATACACCACCACGATGGGGAATGTAATATACACCACGATGGGGAATGTACGGAATATACACCACGATGGGGAATGTAAATATACACCACGATGGGGAATGTAATATACACCACGATGGGGAATGTACGGAATATACACCACGATGGGGAATGTACGGAATATACACCACGATGGGGAATGTCATATACACCACGATGGGGAATGTACGGAATATACACCACGATGCGGAATGTACGGAATATACACCATGATGGGGAATGTAATATACACCACGATGGGGAAATGAATATACACCACGATGTACAGAATATACACCACGATGGGGTAATGTACGGAATATACACCACGATGGGGAATGTAATATACACCACGAATGTAATATACACCATGATGGGGAATGCCCAACCACACAGTAGTCCCACCCACTAACACACCCCTTGTATATAAATGATGAGATTCTGGTCCCGCCCCCTCTGTGGCCCCGCCCCCACTTACGGCAGAAGTCGGGGTTCCTCCATTCGATGCAGACGTTGAATTTGTGGCACATGGCGGTGTACGCCGTCAGAGCTTTGCATGGATCCCGGGTGTATTCCACGTCCTGCGCCCACAACTCACAGAATTCCTCCGGGGACACCTGACACGGGACATAGGAGAGGTCAGCTGACGTCTGAAACATGAACTGTCTGAGCTACCTTCATCCTGCACTCTGACCGTCCCTTAGAAGTCATGTGAATGAAAGGGGAGGGGCCAGGGCCAGTCATGGGGAGAAAAGACCAAGATGATGCTTGACGTCCTCCAGCCAGGAAATGAGGCTGAGTTCTGTCTGATTGGCTGCAGCTTCTAATGCACATTGTGAGAAACTCCCAGTGTGCAGTGACATCAGAGTAACCAGGGGAGGAGCCGGGACACCTGTACAAGACTGAAGGGGAGGAGCCGGGACACCTGTACAAGACTTAAGGGGAGGAGCCGGGACACCTGTACAAGACTGAAGGGGAGGGAGCCGGTACACCTGTACAAGACTGAAGGGGAGGAGCCAGGACGCCTGTACAGGACTGAAGGGGAGGAGCCAGGACACCTGTACAGGACTGAAGGGGAGGAGCCGGTACACCTGTGCAAGACTGAAGGGGAGGAGCCGGTACACCTGTGCAAGACTGAAGGGGAGGAGCTAGTACACCTGTGCAAGACTGAAGGGGAGGAGCCGGTACACCTGTGCAAGACTGAAGGGGAGGAGCCGCTACACCTGTGCAAGACTGAAGGGGAGGAGCCGCTACACCTGTGCAAGACTGAAGGGGAGGAGCTAGTACACCTGTGCAAGACTGAAGGGGAGGAGCCGGTACACCTGTGCAAGACTGGGGGGTTACCTGCTGAATGGGAGGAGCCAGTACACATGTGCTAGACTGAAGGGGAGGAGCTTGTACACCTGCGCAAGACTGAAGGGGAGGAGCCGTTACACCTGTGCAAGACTGAAGGGGAGGAGCCGGTACACCTGCGCAAGACTGAAGGGGAGGAGCCGGTACACCTGTGCAAGACTGAAGGGGAGGAGCCGGTACATCTGTGCAAGACTGAAGGGGAGGAGCCGGTACACCTGTGCAAGACTGAAGGGGAGGAGCCGGTACACCTGTGCAAGACAGAAGGGGAGGAGCCGGTACACCTGTGCAAGACTGGGGGGGGGGGTTACCTGCTTTCCTTCCATGACACAATGCCCCATATGGAGGCCTAGAGAGCACCCCCCCTGCAGTGTGCCCCTCCTCCATACACCCCTGGATAGCGCCCCCTGCAGTGTGCCCCTCCTCCATACACCCCTGGATAGCGCCCCCTGCAGTGTGCCCCTCCTCCATACACCCCTGGATAGCGCCCCCTGCAGTGTGCCCCTCCTCCATACACCCCTGGATAGCGCCCCCTGCAGTGTGCCCCTCCCCCATACACCCCTGCATAGCGCCCCCTGCAGTGTGCCCCTCCTCCATACACCCCTGGATAGCGCCCCCTGCAGTGTGCCCCTCCTCCATACACCCCTGGATAGCGCCCCCTGCAGTGTGCCCCTCCCCCATACACCCCTGCATAGCGCCCCCTGCAGTGTGCCCCTCCCCCATACACCCCTGGATAGCACCCCCTGCAGTGTGCCCCTCCTCCAAACACCCCTGCATAGCACCCCCCGCAGTGTGCCCCTCCCCCATACACCACTGGATAGCGCCCCCTGCAGTGTGCCCCTCCTCCATACACCCCTGGATAGCACCCCCCGCAGTGTGCCCCTCCCCCATACACCCCTGGATAGCGCCCCCTGCAGTGTGCCCCTCCCCCATAGAGCGAGTGATACGTACGTAGGGGTGGCAGTTGCTGAACGTCTGCTTCCCAATCATCTGGAGACACGGAGAGCAATCCACGGAGGAGCAGTTACCGTCCTGCCGCCGCTCCCTCCCCACATACTTCACTGTGTAGGGAACCTGCCAGCTGTCCAGGAACTCGGAGGAATCGTCGCTCGCGCTCAGGACCCGGCCATTGGGCAGAATGAGATCATTCGTCGTGTTCCCATCGCACAGACCTGGGGGGGCGACCAATAATACAGCAGGGGGATCGGTACAACTCCGAGGATGAACAACCCCCCCCGTGAGAGACATCTGTATATATACTATATACTGACCATATTGGAGGGGCAGAGACACCAACTACTGGGGGGAATCTCCCCATTGTGGGAGGGGCAGAGACACCAACTACTGGGGGGAATCTCCCCATTGTGGGAGGGGCAGAGACACCAACTACTGGGGGGAATCTCCCCATTGTGGGAGGGGCAGAGACACCAACTACTGGGGGGAATCTCCCCATTGTGGGAGGGGCAGAGACACCAACTACTGGGGGGGAATCTCCCCATTGTGGGAGGGGCAGAGACACCAACTACTGGGGGGAATCTCCCCATTGTGGGAGGGGCAGAGACACCAACTACTGGGGGGAATCTCCCCATTGTGGGAGGGGCAGAGACACCAACTACTGGGGGGAATCTCCCCATTGTGGGAGGGGCAGAGACACCAACTACTGGGGGGAATCTCCCCATTGTGGGAGGGGCAGAGACACCAACTACTGGGGGGAATCTCCCCATTGTGGGAGGGGCAGAGACACCAACTACTGGGGGGAATCTCCCCATTGTGGGAGGGGCAGAGACACCAACTACTGGGGGGGGAATCTCCCCATTGTGGGAGGGGCAGAGACACCAACTACTGGGGGGAATCTCCCCATTGTGGGAGGGGCAGAGACACCAACTACTGGGGGGAATCTCCCCATTGTGGGAGGGGCAGAGACACCAACTACTGGGGGGAATCTCCCCATTGTGGGAGGGGCAGAGACACCAACTACTGGGGGGAATCTCCCCATTGTGGGAGGGGCAGAGACACCAACTACTGGGGGGAATCTCCCCATTGTGGGAGGGGCAGAGACACCAACTACTGGGGGGAATCTCCCCATTGTGGGAGGGGCAGAGACAGCAACTACTGGGGGGAATCTCCCCATTGTGGGAGGGGCAGAGACAGCAACTACTGGGGGGAATCTCCCCATTGTGGGAGGGGCAGAGACAGCAACTACTGGGGGGAATCTCCCCATTGTGGGAGGGGCAGAGACACCAACTACTGGGGGGAATCTCCCCACTGTGGGAGGGGCAGAGACACAACTACTGGGGGGAATCTCCCCATTGTGGGAGGGACAGAGATACCAACTACTGGGGGGAATCTCCCCATTGTGGGAGGAGCAGAGACACCAACTACGGGGGGGAAACTCCCCATTGTGGGAGGAGCAGAGACACAACTACTGGAGGAAATCTCCCCATTGTGGGAGGAGCAGAGACACAACTACTGGAGGAAATCTCCCCATTGTGGGAGGGGCAGAGACACCAAATACAGGGGGGAATCTCCCCATTGTGGGAGGGGCAGAGACACAACTACTGGGGGGAATCTCCCCATTGTGGGAGGGGCAGAGACACAACTACTGGGGGGAATCTCCCCATTGTGGGAGGGGCAGAGACACAACTACTGGGGGGAATCTCCTCATTTCACACTGAAATGCTGTGAACGGTGTTGGTTTCTGAGCACATTTCTGGGAGGGAGTCCCCGGAGGATCGCTGTACTCACCACACAGTCCCATGGATGGCGGTTTTGGTGGTGGAATTGGACTCAATGATCATGAGACCGCTGCTGTGGAACCATTGGATCCGGATACTGGACGGGGTTTCGATGAAATACATTTCCTGTGTCCACGATTCTGTATCCATATTTCCTGACCATCGGCCACGCAGTCCTGGAGTTCACTGCCACCTGCCAAGGAAAGTCTGACATCATTCATGTATCCTGAGGGAGTCACGGGATTCGGCGAAGCGTGGTGATGTCATTGCCGGTTTGGGACAGCAGCCACCATCTTAGTACACCCAACCCAATGTGCATTATTAGACACACTTGTGTGGTCTGTGGGGGGTTTCTACCCGTTTTCTACTCATTAAACAAAAAATTAACAACACGTACCAGAGGAGCTTACACTCCAATGTCCCCTCCCCCACAGTCCCATCAGTCTCTGTACAGAGGAGCTTACACTCTAATGTCCCCTCCCCCACAGTCCCATCAGTCTCTGTACCAGAGGAGCTTACACTCTAATGTCCCCTCCCCCACAGTCCCATCAGTCTCTGTACCAGAGGAGCTTACACTCTAATGTCCCCTCCCCCACAGTCCCATCAGTCTCTGTACAGAGGAGCTTACACTCTAATGTCCCCTCCCCCACAGTCCCATCAGTCTCTGTACCAGAGGAGCTTACACTCTAATGTCCCCTCCCCCCCAGTCCCATCAGTCTCTGTACCAGAGGAGCTTACACTCTAATGTCCCCTCCCCCACAGTCCCATCAGTCTCTGTACAGAGGAGCTTACACTCTAATGTCCCCTCCCCCACAGTCCCATCAGTCTCTGTACCAGAGGAGCTTACACTCTAATGTCCCCTCCCCCACAGTCCCATCAGTCTCTGTACAGAGGAGCTGAAACTCTAATGTCCCCTCCCCCATAGTCCCATCAGTCTGTACAGAGGAGCTGACACTCTAATGTCCCCTCCCCCGCAGTCCCATCAGTCTGTACAGAGGAGCTGACACTCTAATGTCCCCTCCCCCACAGTCCCATCAGTCTCTGTACCAGAGGAGCTTACACTCTAATGTCCCCTCTCCCACAGTCCCATCAGTCTCTGTACCAGAGGAGCTTACACTCTAATGTCCCCTCCCCCACAGTCCCATCAGTCTCTGTACAGAGGAGCTTACACTCTAATGTCCCCTCCCCCACAGTCCCATCAGTCTCTGTACAGAGGAGCTGAAACTCTAATGTCCCCTCCCCCATAGTCCCATCAGTCTGTACAGAGGAGCTGACACTCTAATGTCCCCTCCCCCGCAGTCCCATCAGTCTGTACAGAGGAGCTGACACTCTAATGTCCCCTCCCCCACAGTCACATACTATTGTACATGTATATAGCTCTGACATATACCGTGGCGCACCCAGAGGGGAGGGGTATCAGTGCAGACGATCCTCTCCTGGTGATCAGTGTGGTGCGGGAATACACAAGACTATGAGATCTCTGAGACATCGCCCAATCCCGTTGTGTTCCATGTGACCCCCCCCCCCCCACCCCTGCCCCGCCCCCACCCATCTCTCTCATTGCCGGTTCTGGAAGAAGACAAGAATTGGACCAACTCTCGCCTGTCAGACTCTGAAAGTGCCATCAGTCCTCCTCTTACAAATGACAGTTACTGACTGCTAACTGCCACTGCCTGGGTGTGACTGTCACTTACCTGCCTGCTGAGGCGATCTATGATGATCTGGTTGGACAGGTAAGTCAATTCCAGCATGGATAGACACAGAGTCACGTTCCCGACCTCCGCCTGTGGAGACACAGAAAGAGACGTTATTATTGGACGAATATTCCGGAGGGGTGTGGCCTCATCTCTGTGATGTCACTTATATGAAGAGGAGGATGAAAGGTTTCGGGATTACTCCCCTCCCCCTCATCCTCTGACATAGGGGATATTGAGCTGAGCCCATCATTGCAGGAATTCATCCTCATCTACATCCCGCCATTGTCCAACCAACACATGACACGGATGGAGATGACGGTTCCTCACCTGAGGAGGTGCACCACACCTGGACACCTGGACCGTAATGGACTCCTCTTCAGTCAGGAGAAGGATGAAGGAGGCCTCCTTATACAGAGCCAGATATCGTCCATCAAAGGTGACGAAACTCAGATCCAAGAAGACCGAGCAACGGCCTGGAAGGATAATGATGACATCATAGCGGGATGGATCATGACATCATAGAACAGCATGGAGGGGCGGAGAGCAGAATGATGACATCATAGGACAGCATGGATGGGCGGAGAGCAGAATGATGAGATCATAGGACAGCATGGAGGGGCGGAGAGCAGAATGATGACATCATAGGACAGCATGGAGGAGCGGAGAGCAGAATGATGACATCATAGGACAGCATGGAGGGGCGGAGAGCAGAATGATGAGATCATAGGACAGCATGGAGGAGCGGAGAGCAGAATGATGACATCATAGGACAGCATGGATGGGCTGAGAGCAGAATGATGAGATCATAGGACAGCATGGAGGAGCGGAGAGCAGAATGATGACATCACAGGACAGCATGGATGGGCGGAGAGCAGAATGATGAGATCATAGGACAGCATGGATGGGCTGAGAGCAGAATGATGAGAGATATAGGACAGCATGGAGGAGCGGAGAGCAGAATGATGACATCACAGGACAGCATGGATGGGCGGAGAGCAGAATAATGACATCATAGGACAGCATGGAGGGGCGGAGAGCAGAAGGATGACATCATAGGACAGCATGGAGGGGCGGAGAGCAGAATGATGACATCACAGGACAGCATGGATGGGCGGAGAGCAGAAGGATGACATCATAGGACAGCATGGAGGGGCGGAGAGCAGAATGATGATGACATCATAGGACAGCATAGCGGAATGGATCATGACATCATAGGACAGCATGGAGGGGGCGGAGAGCAGAATGATGACATCATAGGACAGCATGGAGGGGCAGAGAGCAGAATGATGACATCATAGGACAGCATGGAGGGGCGCAGAGCAGAATGATGACATCATAGGACAGCATGGAGGGGCGGAGGCGGAGAGCGTTATAAATGAGATGGAGAGAACTAAAAGTTATGACATCACATTCTGAAGGAAACTAGATGAAGAGCGGACCGCGCCATCTACAAAAAGGCATCTTCAAAGGTCACATGTAATAAGCCACCCACAGGAGCCACCCCGCCTCACCCGATACAGGAGCCACCCCGCCTCAACCGATACATGAGCCACCCCGCCTCACCCGATACAGGAGCCACCCCGCCTCAACCGAAACAGGAGCCACCCCGCCTCACCCGATACAGGAGCCACCCCGCCTCACCCGATACAGGAGCCACCCCGCCTCACCCAATATAGGAGCCACCCCGCCTCACCTGATTCAGGAACCACCCTGCCTCATCTACTACAGGAGCCACCCGCCTCATGCAATAAAGGAGCCACCCCGCCTCATGCAATACAGGAGCCACCCCGCCTCATCTACAGGAGCCACCCCGCCTCATCTACAGGAGCCACCCCGCCTCATCTACAGGAGCCACCCCGCCTCATCTACTACAGGAGCCACCCCGCCTCATCTACAGGAGCCACCCCGCCTCATCTACTACAGGAGCCACCCCGCCTCATCTACTACAGGAGCCACCCCGCCTCATCTACAGGAGCCACCCCGCCTCATGCAATACAGGAGCCACCCCGCCTCATCTACAGGAGCCACCCCGCCTCATCTACTACAGGAGCCACCCCGCCTCATCTACAGGAGCCACCCCGCCTCATGCAATACAGGAGCCACCCCGCCTCATCTACAGGAGCCACCCCGCCTCATCTACAGGAGCCACCCCGCCTCATCTACTACAGGAGCCACCCCGCCTCATCTACAGGAGCCACCCCGCCTCATCTACTACAGGAGCCACCCCGCCTCATCTACTACAGGAGCCACCCCGCCTCATCTACAGGAGCCACCCCGCCTCATCTACTACAGGAGCCACCCCGCCTCATCTACTACAGGAGCCACCCCGCCTCATCTACTACAGGAGCCACCCCGCCTCATCTACAGGAGCCACCCCGCCTCATGCAATACAGGAGCCACCCCGCCTCATCTACAGGAGCCACCCCGCCTCATCTACTACAGGAGCCACCCCCGCCTCATCTACAGGAGCCACCCCGCCTCATGCAATACAGGAGCCACCCCGCCTCATCTACAGGAGCCACCCCGCCTCATCTACAGGAGCCACCCCACCTCATCTACTACAGGAGCCACCCCGCCTCATCTACAGGAGCCACCCCGCCTCATCTACAGGAGCCACCCCGCCTCATCTACAGGAGCCACCCCGCCTCATCTACAGGAGCCACCCCGCCTCATCTACAGGAGCCACCCCGCCTCATCTACAGGAGCCACCCCGCCTCATCTACAGGAGCCACCCCGCCTCATCTACAGGAGCCACCCCGCCTCATCTACAGGAGCCACCCCGCCTCATCTACAGGAGCCACCCCACCTCATCTACGACAGGAGCCACCCCACCTCATCTACAGGAGCCACCCCGCCTCATCTACAGGAGCCACCCCGCCTCATCTACTACAGATCCTCTTCCAGTTTTCCAGCCTAAAGCTCATTAAGTGTCCCGGTTGTCCCATCCTGGTGTACAAACCCCAATCAGATTTACTGGGGAGCGTTCCCAGCTCCACCCATAATCATGCTGGCGAATCATTTCACAGCATGCTCCCCACTCCCACACACTATACTTACATGCGCACTCCCACTTTGGACAACAACGGTCTCCATTTATCTGAACTGCAAATCCCAGGAGGCCACAGCTGGGCTGGGTGACGTTATAGGGACAATGCTGGGACTTGTTGACCTGGATTAGCTGCCCGTCCACACAGATGTGTTTGATGCAATCGTTCTCCGTGTATGGCTGAGAGAGAGGAGAGACAATGGAGGCCGGGAAGGTAGATCTGCGGGTCTGGCTACCAAAATACACAGAATACAACGTGTACAAAACACTTCAAAATGCTGAATATTCTCTGCTGTGAATGGAAATGACTTCATCTAAAATGGTAAGATAGAAATCGTGTGTCCCAGGATGATGGAGAAGATGAAGCCGGGGTGAGGCAGCAAAGGTGGGAGAGAGTCTGGGGAAGCAGAGAAGGCAGCAGCAAGGATTAAAGTAAAGGAAGGAAGGCAGGGAGTCCAGGTGGGTTGGGTGGTAGTCAAAGATGGGAAGGCAGGGAGTCCAGGTGGGTGGGTGGTAGTCAAAGATGGGAAGGCAGGGAGTCCAGGTGGGTGGGTGGTAGTCAAAGATAGGAGGGCAGGGAGTCCAGGTGGGTGGGTGGTAGTCAAAGATGGGAAGGCAGGGAGTCCAGGTGGGTGGGTGGTAGTCAAAGCTGGGAAGGCAGGGAGTCCAGGTGGGTGGGTGGTAGTCAAAGCTGGGAAGGCAGGGAGTCCAGGTGGGTGGGTGGTAGTCAAAGCTGGGAAGGCAGGGAGTCCAGGTGGGTGGGTGGTAGTCAAAGCTGGGAAGGCAGGGAGTCCAGGTAGGGGTGGGTGGTAGTCAAAGATGGGAAGGCAGGGAGTCCAGGTGGGTGGGTGGTAGTCAAAGCTGGGAAGGCAGGGAGTCCAGGTGAGTTGGGTGGTAGTCAAAGCTGAGATGGCAGGGGAGTCCAGGTGGGGGTGGGTGGTAGTCAAAGATGGGAAGGCAGGGAGTCCAGGTGGGGGTGGGTGGTAGTCAAAGATGGGAAGGCAGGGAGTCCAGGTGGGGGTGGGTGGTAGTCAAAGATAGGAGGGCAGGGAGTCCAGGTGGGGTGGGTGGTAGTCAAAGATAGGAAGGCAGGGAGTCCAGGTGGGGGTGGGTGGTAGTCAAAGATAGGAAGGCAGGGAGTCCAGGTGGGTGGGTGGTAGTCAAAGATAGGAAGGCAGGGAGTCCAGGTGGGTGGGTGGTAGTCAAAGATGGGAAGGCAGGGAGTCCAGGTGAGTTGGGTGGTAGTCAAAGCTGAGATGGCAGGGGAGTCCAGGTGGGGTGGGTGGTAGTCAAAGATGGGAAGGCAGGGAGTCCAGGTGGGGGTGGGTGGTAGTCAAAGATAGGAGGGCAGGGAGTCCAGGTGGGTGGGTGGTAGTCAAAGATAGGAAGGCAGGGAGTCCAGGTGGGGGTGGGTGGTAGTCAAAGATAGGAAGGCAGGGAGTCCAGGTGGGTGGGTGGTAGTCAAAGATAGGAAGGCAGGGAGTCCAGGTGGGTGGGTGGTAGTCAAAGATGGAAAGGCAGGGAGTCCAGGTGGGGTGGGTTGTAGTCAAAGATGGGAAGGCAGGGAGTCCAAGTGGGTGGGTGGTAGTCAAAGCTGGGAAGGCAGTGAGTCCAGGTGGGTTGGGTGGTAGTCAAAGATGGGAAGACAGGGAGTCCAGGTGGGGTGGGTGGTAGTCAAAGCTGGGAAGGCAGGGAGTCTAGGTGGGGGGGGGGGGGGGGGTGGGTGGTAGTCAAAGATGGGCAGGCAGGGAGTCCAGGTGGGTGGGTGGTAGTCAAAGCTGGGAAGGCAGGGAGTCCAGGTGGGTGGGTGGTAGTCAAAGCTGGGAAGGCAGGGAGTCCAGGTGGGTTGGGTGGTAGTCAAAGCTGGGAAGGCAGGGAGTCCAGGTGGGTTGGGTTGGGTGGTAGTCAAAGCTGGGAAGGCAGGGAGTCTAGGTGGGTTGGGTGGTAGTCAAAGCTGGGAAGGCAGGGAGTCTAGGTGGGGGTGGGTGGTAGTCAAAGATGGGAAGGCAGGGAGTCTAGGTGGGGGGGGGTGGTA